CATATAGACTATGATTTAACAAAAACAGATTTTGTTATTTTTAGTTAAACGTAATTTTTGTTGCTTGTCTGCGCTCGTCCGCCGCCTTTTTCTCTTCTCCGAGCCCGCAGCTCTCTCCGATAGCTTAGTGCTAGTGGCACCAGTCCAGTGTTTCCAGGTTTTACTCGTGCTATTTCTCCATGTTGAGAGTTTGGTGTCGCACATATTGCTAAGCGAATAGTAATGCGTTATATTTCTGCGTTACAGCAAAACGTAATATACTACTGTAATATTATTACTTTTGCGTTATTATTACTATATGCGTTACTTCCAACACTGTTCAGGAATTATAGATCAAATGAAATTAAAATGCCAGACGACACGTTTCTGAGGACAGTCAGTTCCCTTCAGATACATTCAAATAAAGACATCCGCGCCGCGTTTTGGGAGTTTTTAAGGACCCGCGGGAGATTTAAGATTTAAGACACACGTCAGGCTAGCGATTTTGCTAGCCCTGGGTTTTAACCTCAACTACAACTTCTTAACTTTTATCCTCTCCTCATGAAATTGCTTAAGATATCGACTCTCAGAAGAAACTGCTATCATCATAAAATGAGAAACAAGTGACAGTTTGATTAGACATTTGTTAACTGTTGGCCTGAAGCCGAAGCCTTAATACTATATCTAACTCTAAAGGCAATTTATAATGCAAGACCAGCTTTGCAGCTCTGTTCTCAATGTTTTAGCAATGAACCAAACCGCAATTGATTCAAATTCAATTTCCTTTCCAGGGAAGACCCCACCACCCCAGAGTTCAATGTGAGTACGGTGGATGAATGGCTGGACGCCATCAATATGGGCCAATATAAAGACAACTTCGCCAGCGCGGGATACGTTTCTCTAGATTCCATACTGTACATCAGCTTGTGGTAAGTTTGTTTACCTATATAAATACATTTACTGTATAACACCCTAGTGTATGTGCAGTGCAGAGGTGTAAAGTATTGGAGTAAATGTAATTAGTTACTGTACTTGAGTATCTTTTCGGGTACTTTGTAATTGTACCGAGTATCAAATATATTAGCAACTTTTACTCTTTACTTCACTACATTTTTGAACGAGTATCTGTACTCTTTACTCCACTACATTTGAAATGAGTGTTGCAGTTACACATTAAATTTTGCATGGACCTAGCATTTTCACTGTAAGGTATCTGTACTTTTACTGAAGTATGGTTTTTAGTTACTCTTTACACCTCTGGTGCAGTGTAATATAATGAGCACACTTACACATGCACATTTTGGCTAGTAGACTATTTTATTTTATTTTATTTTACCTTTCAAAAGTTTGGAGTCAGTAAGATGTTTTTTTAATACTATTACTTTAATTATTCGTTTATAATGTATTTCATTTCAAATAAATATATAGTTTAGTCATGAAACTCTAGATGGTGCAGGTTGATGTTTTGTTAACCTAACTGATGATATTCAGAGAGTTAAACGACTTGGCACAAGCTGATTGGTTCATGCTGCATATGCAACCAATGAGCTTACTGCCTTGCATTTATATGGCTGGCTCCTGCAGCAGAGACTCCTGCAGCACGCTTTCAGAGTTTCTCTGAAACCCTCCACCTTCCCCAGCTCCACCTGTATAGATCTGCTATGGGTTATTTTATATGCTATTTGTGCAGCAGCAGTATGTCTTAAATACTCACGGCACCATATTGCCTTATGCATTGGCAGTAGCAAGTTCCTGTACTTGCTTGCAGCAGCAGCAATAATCTACAACTACAGCAATAACCAACAGCAGCAGCAATTCAGCAGCAGCGTAGAAGATCTATTCCGCCAAGACCAAATACATTAACATTATCATATCCATCACCATGCTAAAATCTTCCGAGAGTTGTCATGATTAAAATGATGTTCTTCTGAACTTTCTATTCATCACAGAATCTTAAAAAAAAGTATCACGGTTTAAAAAATATTAAACAGCACAACTGATTTCACCACTGATAATACAACATTTTACATTATTATTAATGGCTGCAGAAAATTCAGCTTTGCCAACACAGGAATAAATTACATTTATTGAAATAGAAAACATGTATTTTAAATTGTACTAATATTTCACAATATTACTGCTTTTACTGTGTTTGAGCAAATAAACGCAGCCTTGGTGAGAAAAAGAGTGTATAATGTTCAAAAACATGAAAAATGTTACTGACCCCAAACGTTTGAATGGTAGTGTATTGTTTTGTTTTGTTTTTGTTTTTTCACTTTACTAAGGTTTCTTGGTTTACTTTAACACACTGTTCTAACCAGTATAGACAGGATAAAGTGATAAATTCTATGTCTAGGATTTCTCTGTTATTCAAATTAAAATTTGTGTCCTAACCAGCTGCAGTAAGTGTCATGCAAAAAGGTTGCTTGGTTTGTATTTTTATAACGTAGTGCTCGGTAGCTCCGCCCACACAAAAAAATATCTTCAGTTCTGAAATCTTGCTCCACATTGCAGTATATTAAACATCAAATCTGATTACTGTACTATTTCACTTTCAGTAAGGGCAAAACAATTAGTTCATTTCCTGAACATTTTTTTTCTATCCCTCCTTCCTCAGTGAGTTAAGCAAGATGAGCGTGACTCTGGTTGGGCACCAAAAGAAGATTGTCTCAGCCGTCCAGAGTTTGCATGCACAGGGGACTCATGTGCAAATATAACAAGCCTTCTCCACCGCCTGAGAGCGTACAGGCTGAGAGTTACCAACTGCTCCCACCACACTCCCTATCAGCAGCTTCACTGTACAGTTCCCACCCTGGATGTTTCCGCATACAACCCTTTTGTCAGCGCTCTGGTTTCCGTCCATGCACGTCCGAGCTTCCTACAGGCAGAGGGACACACTGAGACTGATCTACAATCGCTTGACAAGGCCACGGCAAATCAGATATGAAGTATGGTTATTAAACACAAAAGAGAAACAAAAAAGGAACAATAATACATTAGGGAGAATTCACAGCTTGTGTTTTACAGTTTCAACATTTTGCATTTCATATTTGACGTTTTGCATATCAGAGGTCGGACTGTTATTCTTAAAAGGAGGGTTGTTGTTTCTTTTTTCTCACATCCACGTTTGGGATATCAGTCTGTCCTCCTACATCACTTATAAGCCACAGTAAAATATCAGATGATGTTTACAGTATATTTATTTTGTCATAATTGAGGCAGCGTTTGAGCTCAGATGGATTCAGGTCGCAGCTTCCAGTATTGAGGCGAAAAGGCAACAGAGGTTTGCGTTCCACCAGCAAAGATGGCCGGAAACATCTGCAACGACAAAGGAGACATCTAAGGCCGTGCCGTGCACAGGACAAGATAAGCTGAGAAATAATTGCTCTCCACTCATCGCCGTGTTGCTTATGCAAACAGTGCAAGCATTTGAATAAGAAATAGAGAAAGAGACTTCTCAAACACACTTCCGGATGTCTTAAGTAAAATAGAAAAGTTATTTCTGTCCATTCGCCACACAGATATGCCAACATGTTGTACCCCTGCAAGGTTTGTGCACATCAGATCAAGCAAACACAACTTCAAAAGGTCATTATGAAGTGTGCGTGCGCTCTTGTGCACCACGTTTGCATTGTCTTTACGTTTAAACTCGTAGTGCGTGACAACTATTGTACTATAGTGTATAAAATGTACAGTGTTGATTTAAAAAAAAAAAAAAAAAAAGAAGACGGAAAAACTAGAATGTTTGCAATGATGTACTTTTATTCACTATGAAGAGGAGAAGTGGCCGTGTGTTGGCGTTATCATCGTCGTTTGCCGATGTGCGATAATAACTCATCTCTGGAATGTAGCATGGATGCTAAGCTTCATCTTTGATTGACAGGTGACAGTGACTGCAGTTTTTCACTCAAGTGGTGCCCTTAGCTGCTTGATTTTAGATGCCTTATTAACTTTGCAGTTCTCTCTTTTTCTCATCCTCCCCTTAAAAACGTTATCATGAAGTATAATGTATATAGTATTTATCATTGCGTCACTGAGAAGCTGGAGCTCGATGTTAAAGCCAGGCTCGATGTTTTTACCGTTTTAGTCTGCTGTTTGTGGAAACGCGTTCGATCTGCGCCGCTCTCGCCAGAGGCATAGATGCATGTGGTATAGGAATGGAGAGGTTTTCATGACTCTATTGGGCTGAACTAAATTCCTCTTTAATGAGACTGATTTGCTGCACTGTATATTTTTGTACTAGTGAGGTTGTTCTGTAAAGTAGAAGTCTACCCGTTTTATTTAAATATATATGAGACATAATTACAGGAACAGATGGAAATGAGAGATAATCATACTTCAAATCATGATTCCCTGACGTCATTTCACATTTTGATTCCTTTTATGTCATTGATTGTTTCAATGCTTCAGCACAACACTGTAACTAATTGCAAGACTTACTCGGAATCTGTAGGGGGGGGGTTTCCACATTTCCTGCGCTGCTTTTGTGGGAAAATCTGTGAAATTTTGCTGAAAGGATTTGAATATGCTCAAATTTCTTTATTCAAAATGGAATTATAATTAGTAAAAAAAAAAAAAAATGTCAGAATTCTGTGATCGCAGATTCCGTGTGGATTTAACTAAGCACACATAACCACAGTTCCTTTCATCAATTTTTAAGGAAGATCCATCATCACCTGTTATTAGAATATGTAAAACTGGATACTTTTCATAAAAGGTGAAAATCCAGAAAATTACATCTCAAGCCATGTTTAAAATGGTGACATATTTAGTTCCCCTAATTAAAACGGCATAAACAACAATACAAATCATCAATCAAAAATATAAATCATAATAATAAATGCAAGGATCACTACTATTGCACTTTTCTTTAGTTTTTCCCATGAGTATTTTATATATCCCATGAGAAAAAAAACACTTCCTTAAACAAGTGATAATGCATTTAGATTAATTAATTTGTTCTATCCTGAGATTGTTAATGAATCTTTATACACTAAATCTGAGATTTCAATATGTAAAATAATTTCAGAAGGCCAGAAACTCATCCATTTTTATTCTCATTTTTCAATCCAAAATTAAATCCATTCAACTCTGTCTTGGGAGGCAATATGTGGCTAAATTGGCTGCAGAAAATTGCATTGAAATAATAAAAACATGATAATGATGATAGTGACAGTGATGATAATAGCAGAATTAATGACCATTAATAAAACATAAGCTCCAGTTTTTACTACTGCAACATAAACTTTCCAGTTTTGCAAATACAGCTAAATAAAGAATTTTATATATCTGCTCACCAAATGAATGAAAG